GTGACGTTCCACGTCCCAAGAGCCAGCTTCAGCAGCCGAGGATCAGACCGCCAGGGTCCCCTCCTTCGGCCGCCGCCCATGAGATGAACAATTTATTTATTATCAGCATGTGAAGTGACAGGAAGTGATGTCAGAGTAATGTCCTGTGTGTGAACAATCTGATGTTCGTTACTTTAAAAGAAGAGTCAGAGCTCTAATTATATTATTTCAGTTAATAAACTACAGGAAGTTCCCTTTTCCTGAATAACACTGCCATGATGTCACTTCCTGTTACATTTCATCTGGACATATTAAAAAGAAAATATGCCAGTTATGTACACAAAGTGTAAAATCCTGTGTATTAATACCCATTTTCTTAAATATAAATATGTTTTCTTTGACTTTTTGTTTTGAAGGATGTTCAGGTTTAAAGACGTCGACACTGAAGATGGAAAAGTAAAAAATCAACAACACTGTACTGCTAACAAACCCATCAATTATCAAGTTTTTTTTTGTCATTTAGACATAAAAACTTCAGAAATGGTCAGAAGTTGTGTAAAAAGTGTCAGTGTGAGAGCCTGGACCTGTCAGTGTTGTTCACAACATGTGTTGTGATTTTAACAACTCTTCAACTCTGTATTCACTGTCATCAACAAGCAAAGGTTGTAATCATCTTACAGGTAATTAATTATTTTAATACTGTCCACCTGCACAGGTGACCACTAATCTTGTGTGTATCATTTTATTAATATTAATATTAATAAAATAACACAGCTGCAGAGGAGATCCTGTCACATCAGCAGGACTAACATGTGTCACATGTCAGGACACACTGATAAAATATAAACACTGAGGTCAGAATAAATAAAATATAAACACTGAGGTCAGGATAAACAATAAATATAAACACTGAGGTCAGAATAAATAAAATATAAACACTGAGGTCAGAATAAATAAAATATAAACACTGAGGTCAGAATAAACAATAAAACACTGAGGTCAGGATAAACAATAAATATAAACACTGAGGTCAGAATAAACAATAAATATAAACACTGAGGTCAGAATAAACAATAAATATAAACACTGAGGTCAGAATAAACAATAAA